CAAAAATTGCATTAGCAAAAAGAAGGAATGTGACGTACATGCGAACGGTCTCTCCCTAAAGAAATAGTCGTGACAAGGGTGCATTTGTAGTTCATATAGTGTGCCTGATTGTAGGATTTTAGTGGCGCTCTCCATTGAAAATATGGCACGAGCCCCTCCCCCCCCCCCAGCCGCCCCCCCCCCCCTCCCCACCCCCACCCACCCATCCCCCTATTGATTTTCGGAGGCCTAAGTGTCCGGAGAAAATAACCGGTCTACATTTCATCACGCCTCCCTGAAAAAAATTCTGGATCCGCCCTGCTAGCCCCCCAAAAATATTGGCATTCAATAGATTTAGCCTAAGCTCATTTGTCATTTCTACTCTGTTACACGGTAGAATTTAATGATCATCTCGACACACCCAAGCCAGTTTGCAATTTAAAAAAAACCTGCTGAATGGGGTCGTCGTTTGGTCTTAATCACGTCCAGGCAAGCGAAAACCGAGGGTGTTGAGTAGCCGACGTGACCCGGTTAAAATCACGAAGTGCACCCACGCAGCACGCCGCCAAACGCCGGCAGATTCCCTTTCACTTGATGGAAATCCGAAACCAAATGAAGCTGTAATGTGACACTCACAGTTTGATGAGGTAGGGATACCGCTCTAAGTTGACAAGTGCCGCCATCGTCTGCCCTTTGCTCGTTGCCGACGTGACTCCGTTCAAGGATCTGCAGGTGGGAAATCAAACCACTAAACTTTATTTGTAATAGTTGGACTCCCTATGCTCGCTCAGTTTACCCAATCCATCACAATAACCCTGACAACATTACTTGTGCACAATACAGAGCCGTTTTAAAATTAGCTATAAATCTGTATACTGTGTTCGTCCTCTGACTACACAATGCACTCGCTACCACTCTTTTTTTCACAAAGCTTCGTCGATTTCATCAAGAACAGAAGCTCGATTGTAGCACCATTCCGATTCTCTAACCGCCCTTACAAACAAGAACTATGTCTGTTTGATGAACAGAATATAGGCTTTTCCGCATTCAGATTTTTTTCCCTCTATTCATTTGTTCCTAACAAAACTTCCAAACTAGAAGCTTGTTTTAGACAAACCTGAAATCAGTGAAGTTATTGAGTGGTCGGGCACAACCCGTCCACTGTTTAGAATTGTTCAGATTTATCTTCTTCTTTCTTCCTTTTTTTTCCGGAAAAGATTCTCCGCGGGTTTTCTCTTAAACGGTATAGGGTATGAACTTGTAACTTTCAACATATATATACCCTCATCCCGAGATATATGTGCATATTAGTCAGACGTCATGATGGCGTTATCGGGTGTCAAATTATACATAAGCGATTTTCGTTAACAAAAGAAATATGACCATCTTGTTACACCTATAACTTTGGAACAAAATGATCAATCATGTTCACACCTTGTTATCAGATAGACCATTATTTTATAAACCATCCATGCAAATATTACCAAATCGCCCCTTGATATTCTTGGAAAGTGCAAGTTCTTTCAACATTTTTAATTTTCCATGCATTTCCGGACAATTGAGTTTGCAACAAGAAAGAGAACTCCTGCGGTATTCATACGATCTCCTGAGCTACAAGCTTGGTTACCATAATAAATAAGGAGCCGTATGGCCGTTTCCCATGTTTTCCCCAAAAGGGTTCTTCGCGGGTTTTTCGCCCCTCCTAGAATCAGCGAATATATAGCAATATACTTTCTTGATGTCACAAGAAATACCCGAATTCTTCTTTGTGTCCACTAAATTCACCGTAAAGTAAAGCCTGTTAGCGACGTCGTTTCACACTGTACTTGTAGTTGCATAAGTTTTACAATATTTATAATACATAGTTGCTTAACAATTTTGCATTAATCTCAAATGTGTGTAGTCATTTGTATTTTATGCAGGGCCCCAATGGAAATCGGTTTTAAACTGTTTGGGTATACCCTTGGTAAAGAAATGTAATAAATAAAATAAACAAATTTATAAATATGTAGCCCTAACCCTAACCCTAGCCTGGAGTAACACAATCTTATGTGCGGGTTGTCGGAAAAAAAAGGGTGTCGGCAAAAAGGGGTGTCGGAACACAAAAAAGTCACCGTTCCTTCGTCTTGCATGTCTATGGGCCTTATGCACGAGTTGGCCATGTTTGTACGAGTTCCCTGAATGTATTTCTTTAATTGATAACTGTTGAATGGGATGGCGCCAGACTATTTATGCAGGCATAATGTAGCCTATCCTTATTTCACTGTCATTTTTTTTAATCTGACTTAAAACATTAGGGAATCTTTAATTGCAAATTTTAAATTATTCATTGAATCAGACTGGAATTAATTAGTAATTAACTTGCTTTCATTTCTCTTCGTATAAAGTTCCAAAAAATATGGCCGATCGTGCATAAGGCCCGTGACCTAGATTCGAATCTACTTCCATTCGTAGCCTCTACGGGTTATGCATGGAACAATACATAACGTCTGCGTGTCAGATCTGTTCTTGGTTTGAAACAGTGCCTACGGAGCTTTTGAGAAATAAGTTTTGACGTTTTGTTTTCCTAGCTCGGGGAATTAAATTCAAGGATATACTGTTAAGAGGAAGTCTCCACGGTATTTCTGCAATAATAGTGTAATAATACAGTCGTCGGATTTGTACGGTCAATGACTGCCTTAATGCAGGCCTGGAAGGAAATTTCTAGACCTGTCCAACAGGATTCTCTTCGTTATTTCCACATGTTAAATTGTGTTTGTTTTGAAGTATTTGAAGACAGATGATTCATTGCGCGTCAACAACGTCTGCTCCATATCTCGGAAATGAAAAAGGGGAAAGGAGCGTTCAAGCTCGTTGCCATCATGAAGTGGGTCTGTCCATAGTGAGATTTTAATAAGTGTTGCCAAGTCATGATTGTGTTTGTTTTAACTATAACTATAAAGATGACACAATCTATGGCTAAAGCCGAACAATTTGTGTGTTCACTGAAACTAGACAAAGTGTCCAGGTGGGTAGGTAAGAAAATAATTTTAGTTTGTCTGTCGCTCTTTTATATGTACCTAAACGGTATTCTTTTAAATGAGCCTGTATAATCAGCCTGTTGAATCAATTCGCTTAACTAATTGTTTAATCGACCAGTTTTATTGAGTCCTTTTTCGAGAAGTCCATTTTTTTCAAGAATCAAACTGAATCGACAACCTGATGGTGCCCTGACAGTGTAAACTCGCATTTTCGCATGTGCAATGAAGTCCGAACGAAGGCAGCATTTTAAAATCCCGCGCCAAGTTCGGATTCGGTTCGGGTTCAGTTCGGACTTTTTATCCGAACTTGGTTCGGTTCGAGTTCGGCAGCTTCGTGAAACAATGATTGCTTACGTCTTTTCTGTTTTCATGTAGCCTAGTTCTTCCAAGCATGAAACTCGGATTCGTAGCATTGAAGCAACGTGATTTTGTGGCGCACGTTGTCACTCAGTACACGGAGGTATGTTCAATCCAATACGCACGGTGCCTAAAGCCCCTGTCACACTTGTCCGAATCTATAATTCCGTTCATAAACCGATCTGAAATATTATTAATTCGGACACGTTCGGAGAGAAATGTCAAAAAACCAGCCAGAAATGAAAATACACCGATCATAATCCGGTCTTATTCCGGATCTAATAAGTTGCTATTCCGATTGCAATCCGTCTATATTCAGAACCTCTCCGATCATCACCGGACATGCCAAACTTTGAAAAATTCATTGATCTCAAGACCGACCGCTTTCCGAACGTTCCGTTTATATTCCGTTCGTCTCCGTTATATATATGGTATTACATCGTGGTAATGCGGTATATCATCGGATAAAGTGACATCAAAGTCCGTTTTTTGATCGGCATTACAATGTGGGTTCGGAATGAACTCTGAATACATACGGAGGCCTGTTCCGTACTCTTCCGTACCTATTCCGCATTGCAACGAATGGCAAAGAATGAGTACAGTGTGTATTCCGTGCATTCCGTGCATATTCCGTGTGTATACCGGATACCGTCCGTATTGAGGTTGCTGCGACAATTCGGAGAAATTATTAAACAGGTTCAATAATTTCTCCGAGTTCCTCAGTGCATCACCGAACGTACACGAGTATATAGCGTTGGAAAACCGAGGAAAACCGAGGGAAATCCTTTTGAGTTCAGTTTAAACCGATTAAACACCGAATCCACAATGTTTTACTCGGAACATGAACGGAGTGACGATTCGGACAAGTGTGACAGGGGCTTAACGTGGCTTGGAATATGGATTATATAGCCGTTGTATATGCACTCAAGGTTCAAAACGATGGCTGAATGCTTGGTTGGAGCAACTCAAAGAAGCGGGAAAACACAGACAAGAATCCCTGATGAGAAGACTGTTTTACTTCCTTAATATAGTTAATTTAAAATTTTCGGCTGGTAAGGTTTAATACCGTAAACACATTTTGTTCGTCCAAGAGTGTCTTGGCCACATTCGTAATGTGTGCGTAGTCCACGCCTTAACTTCCATGCAGGGAAAGAAAGCTGACCACCCCCCCCCCCCGAAAAAAAAAATTCCGAATTCTTGGGATGAAGGTACAACTAACTGAAATAGTTCAGTGTATAACTTATATCCACAACATCTAAGGAAACATTATTGATTTTCATGGTACTGTCGACATTTAAAACAATTGAAATAGACAGGAAGATAAAAATGTCAATCTGTCAAAGATATTTAAAACAAAGTAAGTTGTGTATTCGAAAAACCCCTCAATTCAGCATATTGTTATCTACAATTAGCTTGAAAAGGGTGTGGCTGATTTAGATGTTAACTTCTAAAAATAAAAAACATGTATATACGTTCAACCTGCTGGCAGTAATTCAAGTAGACAAACGGACGGACATTCAATTATTCTGCAGGAAGTCTGTCTGGTTTCTTTGCCAACTCGGGAAATTTATTTAAAGAATCCTAGGTTAAACATGATCGATTGTTCTGCATTATCTTATACCTCACAAACACGTTTGTCATCGTTCAAGTACTAGCTCCAGAGAGTGGGTGTGTTATTTTGCGTAATGCAAACCACACTAAAACTGTACTAGTACAAAATAAAGACGGCATCAAAGGATCCATAGCCATCCATGACTATATAATCCCAGCGGCAGCACTGAGTTTGCTAAACAACCACGGAGCGTCAAGCCTGAAAAGCTTCTTCAACCTGTTGCTGAGATAACTGAACCCAACCACGCGATCATGGCACAGGTAAGTTCCATGGCTGTAGGCTAAGATGCAGTGTTATCTGGTAATTTAATCATGTCTGACATCTTCGGATAAAAGGTACGGAGACTTGTTGCAGCAAATGCAAAGCATGAGGCCAGTGGCGTATCCAGCATTGATGTCGGGGGGGGGGGGGCCGCACTTGCACATCCTTGCTGAAATGTAGACATGTTTTTTCTCCGTACACTTGGCCTCCGTAAAATCAAAAAGCGGGGTAGGGCCGGGGGGCCTGGTACCCATCTTCCGAATGGGGACGCTCTTCCAAACTGACCTATATTATGCATACTGGAAAATATATGCCGATGTTCATGGCGCATTGTAATGGTTTTGGGGCTTGGTTTTCTTTATTTTTTTTGTTGTTTTTGTTCATGTCAGAACTCTCTAACCATTTAAGAAAAAAGTTACTTACAAATATCTTTCAAAAATATCCGCCGGGGGGGGGGGGGGAGGTGACTCCTGCCCCCACCCCAACCCAAATACGCCACTGCATGAGGCCTATATGTTTGTGTTAAAAAGGAGCATCAATTTATAGTGACGTACACAAATAAACGTAAACGATTATGTTCATAAAAGGGAACGAAATTAATCATCTTTCTCGATACAAAAAAAACTACTTTTTTTCTCAATATCTGCCCGATTTTTTGCACTATTTTACAAGGCACATGCAAGTTCTAGAGAATCTCTGATGACTACAGGTTCGTTATTTTGGTGCTCCTTAAGTCCGCGGAATCCCTTTTGGGGGAAAACAATCCCGCCAATACCCAAAAAAAATCGTTACGTCACTCGTTGCCTTGGATGTTTTTCTAGAGACACATGGCCTTACGTAGCGATAGTTCGGTGCCCAATTTTTCATTTATTGCACATCCGTTGGAAAAGTAAAATAACGGAATCCGTCACGTTCCGAGTGATAACTACAGTCATCTAGAAAGCACTGTCCCATTTTTTTTTGGCCTTATTTATTCTAAATATCTAAAAAATTGCAACTAGAAAACTGTTCCCTCAAATAGTCTGTGCAAATCCTATGGTCAAAATGGCGGACGAGACATTGTTTGGACACACCACTATGGGCGACGACCCCGCGTGACGTTACACTTCTACGCCGTATAAGTTCTCCTTACATAGTTTGCGAGAAAAAAAATATTGCCCCTCAAAAGTAGTCCTGTCTACAATATCACCTTCTCGTCTTAATAGATTGTTTATTTAATAATTCCACACCACCAAACATCATCTGAAATAAATCCGTATCCAATTCTATCACATTTTTTACGGGTTCACCTCTGCAGAATTCAACACTTTGTGTATAATTGACATATCGCCGTTTGAGAGTTAGCCACGCCCCGTAGACAACCCTATGGAATTTGTACATAAGTTTTGTTTGTCTCAGATTTTGCGCGTTTCGCGTCCATTTTTATATCATGTAAATGGACAATATTTCACGAGTTGCGTTGACGCGGTTCTACCGCGATAGGTTAATTATTCACAGCCGTAAATATGCATTAATATTTTATGAAACGTATCGTCGATTTCTTCAGCTTTTAGAGAAAAAAATGTAAGCACACCAATATTTTGAGAAAAAGAAAATAATATTATGCAAGTTAACATGGCATTTTTAACATTATTCATACGAAGTTTTTCGGTGAATGAAAGTTTGGAGTCCAACCGTTCGACTTTTTGAATAAAATATGGAAGCTTGAAAAGGATCGGATGCATGGCAACGTTTCTTTGATAATTGTACATGACAGGCTGAGAGTGATTATGCCCTCAAACTATGTAGGCCTACCTCATGTGTTGCGTTTTGAAAATTGTGCACCAATCTCCATAGCTTGAGAAACTTCCGATTTTATTAATCTGTTCCGTTTCTTCACGCGGGATCATGTGCCCTGGTATACGGGTAATTTTGATATCATAGTGTTACTGAATTAGATATTCATAAGCTCAGATATTTCTTTCTAACCAACTTTTTTTTATTCTTTTCAGTCCAAACAAGCCGGTGCAACATTTGTCTTGCTCCTTCTCATGGGAGTTATCCACGCATCAATGTCCAGTGATTCACCCATGGATTCACAGAGTTCACCTCAATCTTCATCCAAAGGTCACTGCTGTAATGAGTGCTACATGGGTCAGCCAGGAACACCAGGCATTCCTGGAAACCCCGGATTTAACGGAAATCAGGGTCCGATGGGACCAAAAGGGGAGCCAGGATTTGGTCTCCAAGGGCCTAAGGGAGACACCGGCGATCCCGGAGAGAAAGGCAACAGCGGCGAGCCAGGCGTTCGAGGCCCGCCAGGAAAAGTAGGCCCATCTGGTGTCTATGGTGACAAGGGCGAGAAAGGTGGCAAGGGAGAACCTGGTGATACATCCCTAGTGACACCTGCACCGCCCTCCGTCGTTGGCTTTAGTGCCTGGAAGTCTGAAGTGCTGACTGGGAACCTAAATGATGTCGTCATCTTTGATCACGTCGTAACGAATGTCGGCGGTGGATACAGTTCGCAAACCGGCATTTTCACGTGCACAATTCCTGGGCTGTATTTCTTCACTGCTAGCTTACTCAGCCAGAATAACAGACGAACCCTTTACGTAAAGTTGAGAAAGAACGATGAAATGATCGTTTCTTTATACACTAATGACCCCGCAATCCATCGTCAAGTAAGTAATTCAGTGGTCATTGATTTGGCAGCGGGAGACAGAATTTGGCTTGCGTTCGGCGGACAAAACGTTGGTTTCTTTGGTAACGTCAATAGGCATTCTTTCTTCTCTGGTTTTCTTCTTCAGCCAATGTAAAATCAACATTGTGTGATGAATAATTAAGACCTCAAACGCAGCGATGCATTTTATAATAAGCACATGCAAATTTAAACATTATACAAAAGGAATCAATCTTGTCGCCATGTTACTGTCAGAGCCCTATAGTTTTTTGAAGACAACTCTCTCACACTGCATGGCTCTGGCTTTGCAAAGGCGTGGAGTTTAAGACATTATTTATATTTCCCAAAAATGCTCTCCGAAAAGTTAAACAAAAAGTCAGTGATACAGGACTTTTCCTGTTTATTTTGTATGTCACCTGTTGCGTTATACTGAAAGTTGGTTTCCGACTGTTCTAGGTCGTCGCAAGGCTGACCCTCGGTTTTAACCTTTTAAGCAGTTTCTTTATTGCAAATAAACATGTTTCTTGATGTTTTGTTACGTAATTTTGCTGAATTTTAACGTCAGTTTGATTCAAGGGGGAAAAATTGAATGCATTTTAGTATTGTATATTTAAAAAAGTGTTAGTGCATGAGATATTTGTAATTGTATTTTTTTGTTTCAAGAGTTGCGAGTGATTTATATAAAATGTTTAATTTTAGATGAAGGCTTCGGCACATAATGTCCCTTTAGTCCGCATAGATAGTCATCATAATTCAGAATTATTCACCTTCGTTTACACTTGCCTGTATTGGAGAACATTATAATCATTACTAACTGCACAGATTTGATAAGGTGTATTTATATTATTCTTGTCTAGTATGCTTTACTTCCTATATTTAAGTATAATTTAGCAACCAAAAAACACACACTCCAGCAGAAGCCGCTTGTTGCCTTTAAAGATGTACTTCGCTTCGTTCCAAAAATAAAAAAAAATCATAAATAAATTGTTAGTTTTCTGGCGAAACAAAAGTTTTTCACTTTTGAATAAGACATCGACCGTAAACAAAAGCATCCAAGAAAACACCAATACAGTTTGGATCGGGAACCAGTCTGCTCGCAGGGAAAATCTGTTTGTGCACAAAATCAACTCAAAACAATCTCCTTTTGAAGATTCAGAAGCCTAAAATTGACACCCAAAATATTTGTTGTAATAATCAAACACTCCAAAGTCCGAATTCATTAGGAGAAAATGATCGAATTAGTAATGTGCAGCACGGACAGGATATCATTAAGTTAAGTTGTATAGTGCTAAAGATGTTTACAACCAATCCAAGTAGATCTGAGTTGATCTAAATTGTAACTTTTAAAATAACCTTGAAATCCAACCGTTGTATACTCCTACCCGTTGATTCTAATCCTATAGATGTTTGAAATATCTGAGTACCGTTATAAGAAGGATTTTTTTTTTTTGGCGTCGGGGTGATAAATATCAAATTAGGTTTTGCCCTTCGCCGTTTTAAACACACTGAGTAGACAGTGTTTCAACGTCGGTGAAGGGCAAAACCTAATTTGATATCTGAGTACCATTTTTGTAATGGAAATGCAAAGTGTTTTTTCCCAGCGGATTTTTTACGTCATCAGAACTGATGTCTATTTTATCAAGACAATTCCTATATCTGCATGATTTGGTGCCTGTTTTCATTATGGAGGTACGCATCTTCAATTAAATTACAGTTATTGAAATTGCATGACCTACACACCTTTGTCCCTCGTGTTGATGTTTTTGATATTGTTTCGTTTTGCAAGTGGAAATGAAGCAAGACACGCTGAGCATTATCTTACTTACATTTATACCACTTTTATTACAAAAATTTAATTCAAACAATAACTAGAAAGCATTCAGAGAGCGCAAACCTCCGCCAAGGCTAAATCGTCCCCGCCATATTATCAGTACATCCACAAGAAATACTAGCATAAATGGTGAAGAATCCTTAAAAAAAATTCTGGATTCCAGACCCAGATCCGGATTACTGCCAAAATCTAATTGATTTGTACTTGTACCAAGGACCACCCCAAAAACCATTTATGCAAATCCGTCCATAACTTTTTGAGTTATCTTGTTAACAGACAAACCAACCAACCAACAAACACCAAATCCGATGAAAACATAACCTCCTTGGCGGAGGTAACAATATGGATTATTAAAGCGCATAATTAACTCAAAAGGTCATCAAGCCTGGCAAGCTAATAGCAATTACAGGCAGTGTACTGCCTTAGGACACAAGCACCCCAGGCTGGGTTCGAACCCACAACCTGCAGAATTACCCACAGATCTTGAGTTCATTGCACCAGACCACGAGACCACGGCACTCCATGAGCACAATTCAGGGACATTGCGTTATGGACAGGGGCGTTGTGGCAGTTAATTACAGTTCAAATTAATTAACTACGAACGGACAAAAATTGTCCATCGGTTGCAACTTGCACTAAAACACAGTCTCCATCCTTCTGCAACGAGTCAGCGCTGGAGAAATTTGTCAACTGGCTGAGTGTAGGTAGCAAATCGACTTATTCAGGGACCAGTGAAGACATACACTTAACCTCGTTTCCAGCGTCTACTTTTATCCACGAGACAATAGCAGACCCCGGGTAGGTAACTTGCTCTTTTAATCTGATTTAAGTTATTTTGTCGACCTGTTGACTTTATTTCTAACACGTATTACGACTTTTAACGTTCATTGTTAATTTGTATGTTAAATCCTCCTTATAAACAATAGTCCTTTTCCATTTTGCTTATTATCATATTTTGTGCATTACTGTTGGATGGGAAAGAAAACATATCATGCATTTGCAAGAGACATAAATTGCCAGTGTTCAGACCCTAGACACCTCATTCACAAAAATTGACCCGCTGTTTTGTACTGCGTACTGTTCAACGCCATGGAGACGAGGTTGACACGTAATTAACTTTCAACAACGATCCAAATATTCCATATTCAAAGCGCTACGGCTTACCGCGCTGCCTGGCGGCAATGCATGTCCTAATCTCTTAGACTTTTCGATTTTTTTAGATAGACTGCAGCAATTCTCAAGCCGCTCTAATCATGTCGACCTTGCGACGACGCAGAACAGTTTGCAACTGACTTTTCATTATCAAGCTGTGCCTGAGTTACGACCGTCGGGAACATTTCAGTCGCCAAGTTTTTGCAACCTGGTTGTAAATGCAACGATATTACATGTTAGACGACTGGCATCAGTCGGCGCTCAAAAAAATCAGCAGTCGCAAGAGCAGAAACTTTTCAACTTCAGCGCCGCGACGGAACGTATTGACGCCAGGCGGGAATCAATCGCAGTGACCTGTGTGATTGAGTTGACGACGTCGTGCACGCGTTCGAATCATCCAATTTTGTTGTGAACCGCCGTCGCGCCGTGGGTGACTTGAACACTGTTGTGATTATTCTGTATTGAGGATGCCGCTTTTTTTTTCAAGATAACCACACGATTTCTCAGTTTTCTGCTTGATGCCGACGGTTCGCAAGCCAATCGCAGGTGACTTTAGGGAAGAGAAATCGGACTCGGGTCCACTCCAGGCCCGGATTATGCCAACTACTGCAGATGTCACAGTGAAGTATGATGACATTAGGATTAAATAGTGTGACATAACGACGACTTTGTTCGGCGTAGACGAGACGAAATCGAAAACTCTTGGACGAATATGTGTGTTCATGGTTTCAATTTGCCTGAACTAAAATTGAATTTTTTTTTAAAAAGGACCAAAAAAATATTGAAAGTGAACTAAATAGATTTGCTGGACAAATATAAATAATTATTATAATGGTTGAATTAGAAAGGAAAAAGCTTGAAAATAGCCGGGAAACCCCATATTTCCTTTACTAATCTTTGTTTCTCAGAAACATATCGGTTTCGGATCATTGGCTTTGAAATGTTTGTTATGATGCTGCTTCAGTGCCGAAAATTGCAATAAATAAGGAAAGTTTCTGCATTTGCCGATTCAGCGTTGTTTCAGTGCATGACAGTAAGTTAATGAGCAAACTTTACGCGCAAATATTTCAATTTAGGTTATTGATTTAAACAAAAAAACCTAAACTTCAGATTTTCGGCCTAATACCATCAGAGTAAACAGCGCCCTCAGTTGTCAGGAAAAACATGGAATAATATTGTTGGTTGATTTTTGAAGTGCACTTCATATAAGTTTTAACTAAAAAGGGTTAGGCCTATCTCATACTTTTCAGTACGGAAAACTGCACAAAATGTGTATTATAGTGTAAAATTCATTACACGATCGATTTAAACCTTCGCAGTAAAGTAAGTTCGCGAAATATCTGTTTAAAGGATTCTGACGGCATCAGAGCAGCCCAATGTCCATTACTATGGACCGAAGCGTGTATGTCATGAGTAGTGGCTAGGGAGTCACCTCCAATCATGTAGTACGTGTGTGCACATGATGATGAATAATTGCCCGCTTTCAGAGAAATAAGAACATTCAAGAATTGAAGGCAAGCAAACGATCGACGTTATCTAATTACGAGGAACGCTGTTACCAAACTCGTTATGGAATACTAAAGGTTTTCTGAAGACGCATTTATTGACCTCAATCTCTCACATGAATGCTGCGTCACTTCCTGATGCTGTTTCAGTCAGTCGCTGGGTTAAGCCTCCGCCGTTTTATTCGTTCTGTGCCCGTTGCCTGTTTAGGCATATGACAGGCCATCTACGGAAGGGATAAACGATCACGAGGAGAAAAGCGGCTTAACTCGTGGTCGGGTAAGGGATTGTGCGGGGGCTCGAGATGGAACGGGTATAATCAAAATAACTTTCTGTTCGTTTGTTTCGAAGACGACGACGAAAACAACAACGTACAGTGGCATTTATTACTTATATGTGTGTCAAGCTACTTAAGACCAAAAAGCATATAATAGACGATGACATTTTAGATAAGTTTTACTTCTTAATTAAGTTTTTTTTTAAATCACGTAGAGAAATCATACTGAAGGTCCATATCTGACATCAATCTTACTTCACTGCGTCCTATTTGCCAAAGTAGGTACATTTGGCTGAATGTACTACTTTACCAACTCCAAATACCGCCCTCTGGGGCGTCCAGCATTATCGTAAAAGGCCAATACATGCCATGCGGCCAGCATATTTTTGGGGGGTCATCTCGGTAAAGTGATTGACCGTAATGCGCATGCGTGGAACATATCACGTGAAAGGATAAATATGTCACCTGATTCTGAATAATAAGTTCTTATAGCTTATACTCCACGGCGGTCAGTGTGGTTTTGCTTAGGCCTGCTGAGTTAAATGTGTGGTTTTGAAAACTGTATGTTCCTGATTCGAATCGGAGAGGAAACGGCAAGTTACAGGTCTTTCAATCGCTTTCACACGGTAACTCAACTAAGGTGACAACGATCAGAAGTGAAACCACATTAACCCTAACCTTGCGTGCCTGGTGTTGAACATAAACTATTTTCTTAATGTATTCTTACACAATTAAACACACACAAAAAAAGTGCTGCATCCATTAACCCTAAAGGGGCCGGGTTATTTTGACCATCTCTCAGCCGGGGGGGGAGGGCGGATTCGGCCCCCCCCCCCCCTTTGATCTCGGCCATCGAGTGACGAAAAATTTTGAAACTCGATACATGCATAGAGCAACTCTTCCTTGACATAGCCAAGAAATTTCATGACTATAGGTCAAAGGGTTTTGGAATTATGGCTAATTAATTATTCATATGTACGAATGGCAATTCTGCTCTGTGTACACGACGTATATGCGAAAATTTAGTTTTCACGGCGCGTAGCGCCGGAAAATTTTTCGCTACGCGGCAACCCGTTGTCCGATTTTTATGTTTTTGGTATCAAAAGATGCGCAAAGCTCGAGGCTAAAAAGTCATAACAGCTCGGGTCGCGAAAAAATTTTTTTTAGAGGCTATAACGGAAAATGTTGAGGGGGGGGGCGGATTCCGCGCCCCCCGGCCCTTTTAGGGTTAAACGTCAGTCATGTACGTTTATAATGGATTTCATTTGAATGCATTGTTGTCATAAATGAAAGCGTATTGTTTCCAACGTGAAAAAAAGGTAACTTTCCACTGAAATTACTCAGATAACACGCGTGTGAATGTAAACGGCTCAAAAGGTCATTTATTTATCACAAGCAACTTGTGGTATATAATGGACTGCGAGTGAACCCACTCTTATGTGGGCGGAACGCTTTTCAAACTGGGGGCATCACCAAAAAGGGACACTTGCTCAAAAAAAGCACGTTCCGTCGGTGTGAAAGAGGAGAAAGTTGTAAAACTATTTTTGTTCACGTTGCAAGGAATACATGTTACCTGGAACAAAATTTACTAACAATTATGATATACACTTTTAAAATTGTGCGTTAATTTTTTTTTTTAATCTTAATTCCCTCAATCAAAAACTAACATTGTCGGCCTGTACCTGATATA